GCGAACCACAGCCAGTAACTGCTCTTGGTATCGGCTTGTCTTGGGTGCGCATTTTCTTACACAAGCACGTTACTCTAAACTAGGGGGAATGTCTCATAAACTAGACAGTAACACACATGCGAACACCTCCGTTGTCCGTCTACTGAGCGCGATGCATGCCACGCAAGAGAGAAGAGAAAGAGTTCTTGGCCACTATAAGACACAAGTCGTGACTCTGAGAACGAAAAACGAGTTGTGTGTGGAAGAAAATTCAGAAAAGTAGTATTAATCGAATTGCTAAACCAATTGTTGCAAGTCGAAAATGGTAAGGGGAATGGAGGAAGATACGTATGTGATGATGCAGACCAATTTCAATTAACTAATCACTCTTGAAGAATCCTAATTTTTAACCTGAAAAAGTCTGATATTAATAATAAATATTTTTGTAATTGAACATTTTAAATTTTCGTTACTAATATGTAGTAATCAATATGACTTACTTTACGATGTTAAAAAATTTCGAAAATAAACAGTTCCCCAAGGATAAATCGCCGGTAGTGCTAGAAGCATCAAGGTTTTTATATTAGTAGTCTGAGTTTTTTACTTATTTCTTTAAAATCTCGTTTTCGACTTTTATGGTCATACAGCGACCACTGTAATTAACATTTTTTTCCACACATTCGAGTAACGGTAGCGAAACTCGCATAAACATACATGTTTCGGATGCAAGTTTCGGATCCGCGACACATAAGGCACGAGGTAGCTTCAGCTCTTCCCCCTTCGCCCTTCGCCCTTAGAGACCTCGGTTATCCGGGCCGGCAGTGCACCGATTTGCTTCTCATACGGAGGTGGTCTGAAAAGTTCTCGGCCTCGCCCGTAGATCGAAGAGCTACTCGCACAATGTCTTGCCCAAAAGGTAGTACAACTTTCAAAAGGCTTCATTTGAAATTTAGAGCCTACTATTTTAGACTATCCACCCATGTGCGCAGGTTTAAACCCGATTGAGCCATGGGCTTTTAAGGATAAATAAATCCGGCCTACTCTTTTCCAGGGGGAAGTAAAGCCAATTGTCCCATGTTGTAGATTTATGAATGTAAAATATCCTCAAGAGTAAAAGAAGCTTAATTCAAATCGCCCGTGTTAACGCCCGAGTGATGCATTCTTTCTCTGGTAGATGGCGAAAGGAGCGTACCGACATTTGCGTGGTCAGAGAGAAGAGCAATCCTTATGGCCTGCGCATTGCCACAGAAAATATGGCATCATTGAATTAAATTGAAGAAGTTGTGTTCCTCCTCAGTGGAACATGAGATTCGGTGCCAAACTACAAGTCGGCTAGTAATTTTTTTATTCCTCTAGATACCTCCCCGAACGGAGTACCGCCTACTTCAGTCGGGACAAGCTCTAAGTTTGTGTAGTGCATATTGTAAGTGTAGTGTATAGTGTAAGTGTGTGCAAGGGGGGACGACAAAGTTGGTGAAGGAAAGTTCACGAGTGGTCCGAAGCCCGTTGTTAGGGTGCTACTCTGGCATTGGCCTTGTGTTGTTGAGAGAAACCATGTAAAAAAACCAATCACAGCAGCCGACCGCTGGAATTCTCCTACCTAAAGTAGCTGCAGAGCCTTCCCGCAATGCGTGCCCATGAGGCGGCTGCGCCGCGCCGGGGCATGCTCGTAACGGCACGGGAATCGCCCGATCCCGATTTACCCTCACCCTCGCTTCCCAGCTAATTCTCTCTCACTTTTCAATACCTGAGCGCATAGCGCCATTCCATCCCGTTTCCTTTATCCAGTGCTTCGGAAGTAGAAAACATTTATAAGTTTATGTTGATTCGTTCGCGTATCAGACCAGAGAAAACCTCGAATACATGTGAACATGGCAGATTCTTCGGAATTGCGTGAGTTAAGTCACAGGTGTAAGAAGATGTTTGTAATAGGTTTCAAGTTTTCTTTCCACAAATTGTAAGTGTGGTTTTCAACGTTGACAGTGCTCTAAAAGGACGTCGAAAACAAAAAAGTGTATCAATTATAATTGATCTATACAATACTTAGCAGACCACGGTAAACGTAGAATCAATTCTTACACTAAAATGGAAAACGGAGCGGGATGCCGTCGAGCTAAGCCTTTTGGGAGGTAGGTAAACAGGTTAGGAAAAGTTGAATGTGAGAGCTGGAGAGGTGGCTCCGGGCATCAAATGATGTCGCTGCAGTGCCTCTGACCACGAGCTCGTAAGTTTAAGTTCTGACAGTTGCTGGATTTTCGACACTAGTTTGTCAGTAGGTTGCTGTCTGGAGGACAATTCTAGAGGCTGACTGCTCTGATCGGTTGTTTTCTGTGGTTTCTCCAATCAACACCAGGCGAATGCCGGAGTAGTACCGTAAAAAACCCGCAATGGACTGCGCACAATTTTTCCGTCCTCTTCCTTGTCCTATTGCTTACTTACTTACACACTTACGGCGCCTTACACACACTTACACTAATCTGCACTACACTACCACACATGCCGGAGCTTACATCTTGTCTTGGCTCAGGCGGAGTCCCACTGGTGGGAGATACCTGTCTGGTGAAAACTGCGTTCGCCGACGGCAGGTCAGCGCCAGTTCTCGCCATCCAACGGGGGAAGACACCCGCAACTTCGCGAGGGAAACATGCACTACACTAACGGAACAAATGACCTGAGCAGTTGACGCGCCCGGACTCACTAACAATCAATCAATCAATTGACGTGACGTCTTATGCAGTCGGTGTACGCCCACGGGCCCGGGGGGGGTTGTTTTGCGATGGCGGAAGCAGGGGACGAAAACGGAGTTTCAGTCAGAAAGGCGGAGGTCGCCGCGCGAGGCGAGGCGAGGCAAGGCGAGGCCGGCGGGGCGCCGGGTCGCGGAGAGCGGCGCTCGGCGACGACGCGCCGCCATTAGCGACGCGCCATCGGGAGGGCGCCCTCCCCCGCCCCACCCCCGCCACCAGGGCCACCGCCAGTGATTTAGGCGCTGCCGGCGACGGCGGAGAAACACTTCGCCTCACTCATGATTACGTTCTTACGATAATGTTTAGAGCGGCGTTGGGAACTCATGACGCTGCATACTCTTGAGTCGTGACGCTGGGCATCATGATTCAAGGTCCGGATCGCCATGGGACACGGATTTTCGATTTGTCCTTATTAATAAGAGAACGGCGCAAGTAATGGCCAAATTTCACTTACGCCGTTTTTGTGTCTGCCTCTGCTGACGTATAAGGAAGGCAAAATTAGTTGGAAGCCCATTGTGTGGACAAGTAGAAAACCCCACCAATGTTCTTGTCGGAAGTACGTCAGTGCGTCCGTTTGGAAGAGCTAGAGCTTTAAAACAAGCAATTTCATTAATGGAGGGGATGGAAGCAACGGTCTGGGAATGTTTAGAACTTCCACTAACAAAAAGACATTGCTTCCTTCGTTTCCATGCATATAATAAAGGCGTAACTCGGCGAAGTTCGCCATCTCTCATGAATTAAAGTACTCACAGTAAGGAGAATGAGTTTACCATTTGGTTGTAGTATGTAAAATAAGTGGTTTTCCGGTAACTAGATTCAAATAATGCGTTAGACGTTTATAATTGTCGGTGAAGTTTTAACTACAGTTTTCATAATCAATTATTGAGATATTGCCTCAAAATTTATTACCAACCATGTCACGACACAAAAACCTCGTACACTATTCATGAAAAAGTTATGGTTTGTCATGAGAATCAGCATTGCTCTAAACCAGTATGTTAGACAATATTAAGATAGCGGACCGACGTTCTTGAAACTGGAAATAATGTGAAGCAATAGAATTCTACCCATTCTAATAGTTTTCTTATTCTAATACTTTTCCAACATCTATGGTAAAAATATCCGCGTGGTTTTCTAAATCTTCAACTCTCCATTTCATTGCAAATTATAAACCTTGTGGATGAATCGTGGGAGAAGTCGTGGTCATCGAGGCAAGGCCATCTGGTGCAGAACACAGCGGGGCCATAGCACACAGTTGGGCATCACGATACGATGCGGCTGACGCGGGACTCTCCCACTGCTTCAAGGCAAGATCATGCAGCAGCCATTATCGCCATTTCTTTATATTGAGAGGACATCAAATTTCCCTATAAGAATAATTACACTGTCATGAGAATATCTATCGGATTTCCATGAACTCCTTGGGCTTGAACTTGGGCTTTGATGTATATGGTAGGGCGTCGTGTATAATTTGGTGTCTGAGTAAGGGTAGGCTTTAAATTGGCCAATTGTGAAATATTTTATGCACTGTCGTTGGGTTCGAATCATCTGTTTTACTCCTCAGTGAGAAATCATTGTCGTTCAGACAAAAGCTTTCATCTACCAAAAATAACTGGACCATCTTTCTACAATGTAGGTGAAGATAAATCCCCCTTTCTAATAAAAACAGATATCAATTTCATTCCGTTCTACAGTGCTTTTGTATTTTCGAC